CATCCGTAGAGCTACCGCGCTCAGAAGCTGAGGTTCCCCCTGCTAAATCTGTTAGCAGAACGATTACCTGCTACAAGTGCTCTGGACCCAACCATATGGCGAAGAATTGTACACAAGGACGTCAGTAGAGGTCGAACAGAACGCAGAGGTCTGGCCGCGACAAGCGGTGTTTTCGATGCAATGGCATTGGACATTTCCTCAGAATGCCAGGGAAACGCCCAAGGGGAGAAGGCATCAGCGCCAGCCTTCTCCCCGAGCAAGTAAAAACCCGGAAGTTAACCACCCGTACAAGTATTTGTAGATGGAGTAGAGTGTACAGCTCTAGTGGATTCGGGATGCTCACAGGCGCTGGTGAGCAAGACTGTGTGTCGCTGCTGGAAGCAGGAAGAGGTGGGAGTGTTGACTGCCGTGGGAAGACCCTGAAGTGCCGTGGATACGGTAAAATTAAGTTAGGCGTCGAGCGGATTCAGCCCGTGACTGTTGGGGTTCTGGTCGTAGAAGGGCAGTTGCTAGGATTCAATCTTCTTCTCAGGATTGATGCAATCAAAGTGCTCGGGCGTTTACTTAACGAATCAGGCGAAGCGCGTTTGAAACCTGAACACATGTGCCGCCATTGTTATCAACAAACCTGACTTTAGAGTGACGTTTAACCCGAGCGAAAACATGGACTGCATTGTGGAAGTGGGCGAGTGGTCATTCACCTAACAAGTTGGTCAATAAAGTACAGGAGTACACAGTACCTGGCCACGTCCGGGATGCATACGATGAAGAACTAGCACGGTGGCAGCGAGACGGATGGCTACTGCCATATCCCGAGAAAGAGCTTGGCCCACCCAAGGGATTAATTCCCTTAATGGCGGTCGTACAAGAACACAAACAGAAGGTCCGGCCGGTACTTGACTATCGGGAGTTGAACGGCTTTTAGACGCATTCACGGCTGACGCAGAGGTGTGTGCGCAGAAATTACGAGAATGGCGACGACAAGGAGCTGACGTGTCGCTGTTGGATTTGAGAAATGCATACCTACAGATTCACATTGACAAATCGCTATGGCCGTTTCAAACAGTGGTCATTAAGGGCAAGCGGTTTTGCCTTACGCGTTTGGGTTTTGGCCTGAATGTGGCACCACTTGTCATGAAGTCAGTGATCGACATAATAACGTCCCAGGATCAGGACATTAAGAGTGCCACGTCGGCATATGTCGACGATATCTTCATAAATGAAGGCCTAGTTTCTGCAGCGCGCGTAAGACAGCACTTTGCAGATTACGGGCTAGTCTGTAAAGATCCGGAGCGATTGAGGGACGGAACTAAGGTCCTGGGTCTGCAAGTCTGGGAAGAAAGCAACTCCCTTCGATGGAAGCGGGGAGGTCAAGTTCCAGAAATTGCTCAAAAGCTGACCCGCCGAAGCGTATTTTCCTTGTGCGGGAAACTCGTGGGTCATTTCCCTGTGTGCGGTTGGCTTAGGGTGGCAACTGCATTTATTAAGCGTTATGCAAGTACACTAACCAAAGGATGGGACGACGAGATAAAGGATGCCACTCTTGGACGTATACTGGAGGAAACAGTGGCCAGAGTGCGGGAATCGGATCCTGTCGGCGGAGACTGGTGTGTGAACGGCAATGAAATGACAGTTTGGGTGGATGCAAGCTCCGTGGCCACGGGGAGTAGCACTAGAGGTGAATGGGGCGTCGTGGAAGATGCTTGCTGGTTGCGTCCAACCAATGATGCTAAACACATTAATCTTGCTGAGCTTGATGCTGTGATCAAGGGCGTGAATCTTGCCCTGCAATGGCAGGCACCAGTTATGAATGTGGTCACCGATTCAGCATGTGTGCATCGGTGGGTGTCTGACACCCTGACAGGAAAGACGCGCGTGAACACGAAGGCAGCGGGTGAAATGCTGATGAGGCGGCGCTTAGAGACACTGCGAGCTCTGGTGGAGGAGTACGCACTGACTATGACTGTGACGTTGGTAACATCTTGTCAGAACCGCGCTGACAGCCTCACCAGAGTGCCGCAACGCTGGTTGGAGATGCACAAGAAAGGAGGAGAACCGGTGCAAGTATGTTGCGCCACTGCAACGAGCCAGTTGAGCAAACGTCAGGTGACCCACATCCACCAGCAGAGTGGGCACCCAGGTGTTAAAAGAACAATGTACTTTGCTAGGACTGTAGATCCAACGGTGTCTAAGGAACTGGTAAAATCTGTTGTTAGAACCTGTGAAGCCTGCCAATCGATCGATCCAGCACCAGTGCATTGGAGGAAAGGAAATTTGAGTGTGAGAAAAAACTGGAGCAGGTTAGCAATGGACGTGACCCATTACAATGGTAGCCATTTTCTTACGCTCATTGACTGTGGTCCCTCACGTTTTGCGGTATGGCGGCCACTGAGACGGCAAGACTCTGCTGGTGTCATTCGTCAGTTGGAGACAGTCTTCTACGAACGAGGCCCGCCGACTGAAATACTGACTGACAATGACACCACGTTCACTTGCAGACAATTTAGGGAATTTGTAAACAGCTGGGGCGTGCATTTGAGGTTCGGTGCGCTTACGTGCCGTCTGGAAATGGCATTGTGGAACGCAACCACAGAAGCGTCAAAACCATAGCGGCCAGGAAAAATTGTTCAGTCTTGGAAGCGGTTTACTGGCATAACGTCACACCTAAGGACAACCTTCCACGGCACCGGCTGATGTACTGCACACATACCACGTCCGGGTGAGAGGCATCGACGCGATGTCCCCGCCTGAATCACAAGTAACCGAAGGGGAATACAAGAAAGGGGACGTTGTCTGGGTTAAGACTCCACGTGTTAAATGCACGACCAAATTTGGAACCGGACGTGTGACCGAGGTGGTGAGTCAGCAGTCAGTGCGGGTCGATGGAACACCTCGTCATGTTAGAGACCTGCGCCCTTTTTTGGGATCGAATCCCACAACTGACGAAGAAGACACGGAGGATAGTGAACAGCCAATATACATAGAGTTGGATTCAACAACCAATCACTCCGATAGCGGTAGTGTCCCAATAGATCGAGACGTGTCTAATGAGAGCTCATCTGATGAAGAAGTTCAACCAATCCCTCGAGGAGGTACCCGGAACAAAAGACCGTATCCTCACTGTCATCTGTGTGATCAGGAGATCAGGGGGGAATGTGGCGGACATGAGACAGAACCTGGGACCAGCACAACTGGTCGCGACTTGCCTTGTCCCCGCCAAAAAAGAGCCCGTATTTGCTTAGCATGTAAAGCTACTGCAGTTGAAATGAGGGAGAGAAAAAAAGCACTTACCGCTCTGCCGTAATCCATCCTCGGCCAGATAACTTAAAAGAATGAGGGGGTCTGGCATCGCATTTTTATGCAATAACGATGCAATGCATTATGGGACATGGACGCAATGAATTATGGGATCACGTGAAGACGCAAGGATTATGGGTACATGAACAATTATAAAAAGAACTACTTTTTTCCGAGTTGGGGAGTTCTTCGAGAGACGTTCACGGTTGACGGCAAGAACGGGCAGTTAGTGTGATTTGGAGACAACTCAAGAAGGAACGACTCAAGTTTGAAATACCAGTTGGGAGAGCTTGAATTTACTCGCTGGTTACTATTTTCTTCATTCGCCTCAGATATTTGGATTCCTTGACTAAAAGATTTCATTAATTTCTGGCCAGTGGATCAGAAGATATAAGGGTTTTGTGAGATCGTCAAGTTCAAAAATAAAAATATCTGTTGACAGAAAATGCTGATTCAGCAAAATTTTAACTTGCAATATCTTGAACAGTTAAGAATTTTCACTTAAAATTATCAGGATTTTCTAATTACTATAAGATTTACAACATATATCAAAATGAAAAAAAATCTAATTTTTTTTTGGTTGGGGTTACATTGATTGGTTGAATTGATCTGGAATGACCCTATTCTATTTTTCACATTTACTTGAAAGACCATGTCTACTCAGTTTTGTATCTGAAACATAAACAAATTTCTAAAGACTTAATGGATTTATATTTAATCTGACATTTCATTGCTTGAAATGCACTATTATGTTTACTCATGTTCTGGCCAGTAGACATAATACACACTATTAACAATGAAAAAAAAACGGAATTTATTTCAAACACGGGGATCCACTAAAAATAATGTTTGAAGCCACAAAAAGGTCAAATCCAAAATAAATCCATTAATTCTTTAGAAATATATATAATGTGAGGAACGAGATGATTCACCTCCCACAAAGCGAATTTGCTTGGCATGTCAGGTCCTGTTGAAAGATCGTGACCGTCATTAAAAATGAAATGGATTATTCTGAAATTCCTATCTCATGTGCAGATGTACAATGAAAAAGACTAAGAATTCAAACCAGCTTCAATTTAATAAAATAGGAAGTCTCGTGCGAACAAAAATGAAGTCCCGTATGCAAATATTAGTTCCCCCTGACGCAGACATAAATAGTGAGTCTGTGAGGGAGATCGGCTGAAATTTCGTTGGTGTGATATTGTAAGGACAGAACAAGAGAAGAAGGAAGAGGGTTGTTGCTTGAAAGCAATCACCTTAATCCGTTTCAGTTATCACAAACAACTGGTGAACTAAAATAAAAGCTATATATATATATATATATATATATATATATATATATATATATATATAAAAAATGTGTTTGTGTAAAAATTCAGATCTAATCCAAATATGGGTAAAGACTAAATAAATAAGACAACAAAAGGAAAACTTTTTTTGTCTAACTTTTTGCTTTTAGAAAATCTTTATGAAACCAAGATGACTGACTTTGTGAAAAAAGCAGAGTACAAATTGGAACAAATATAAAGTTACAAGCATGAAAACTCTATTTGATATTTCTTTAGCACAGGGACCTACTAATGAATTAACAAGATCTTTATTTGGTAGGACTAATCACCATTGCTAGGTTTGTATTAAAAAAACATCTTTTTTTTTTTTTTTTCTTTTTAATTATTACATGTATTTTTTCTTTTTCTCATTAGGATGAACAATGGGAAAAGAAATGTGGACGCATTTTTCAATTTTGTCACCAGACAATTGGTGCCTTGATCAAAGCAGAACAGGCTGAGATACCACTGCGATTGTTCCTGCAGGGAGCAATAGCTGCCGGCAAGATCAAGTATGAAAACTATGAAACAGTTGCATATGAGTTCATGTCCCAGGTGAGTCTTGCCTTTATTTTTTTCCCTTTCCTGTCTTCCCACCATTTTTACTTCCCACCACCCTCCTGCCGTTCCCCCTCCGTCGCTTCCTCCTGCCGTTCCCCCTCCGTCGCTTCCTCCTGCCGTTCCCCCTCCGTCGCTTCCTCCTGCCGTTCCCCCTCCGTCGCTTCCTCCTGCCGTTCCCCCTCCGTCGCTTCCTCCTGCCGTTCCCCCTCCGTCGCTTCCTCCTGCCGTTCCCCCTCCGTCGCTTCCTCCTGCCGTTCCCCCTCCGTCGCTTCCTCCTGCCGTTCCCTCTCTCTCTCCCGTCCTTGCCCTCTTCCATGCGACATGTGGACATTTTCTTCAGCAAGTTAGTATTTTATTTACTTTTTTTTTTTGCTACATAAAAACATTCCTGCACAAAATGGAATAATGCCATATCCCTTCAAGGTTCTCCTCAGATACCTTTTTCTGTATGATCTGTGAATTGCTATGAATTCTTGAAAAAAATAGTTGAATACTTACCTGTTGCTTTCTCCATGGTTTTGAATCTGTTTTCACTCTTATTTGGGTAGTTGCAGTCTGCTTAGCTATTTAATCAATAGGCAGGAGAAGGAAAGAGATGGTCTCATGCCTTTCCCAAGAGCATTTGTGTGAAAGTCAATGCAACAGTTGAGGGTGGGATACTTGAACATTTTCATATCACCTTATCTTTATTTTTAGTTAAGACACATTTTTTTGTTCTTAGGCTTGTATTAAAATTCATATTACTCTGTGAAATGTGTCTTAGCTAATATTATTTTTCTAACAAATGGTTGTAATTATCTTGATGATTTTATTTACATATAAACAAATATGGATGACCATTAGGCTTTTCAAATATGAACAGACTTGATACTATTACTCAACTGACACAAGAAAAGATTCCCATGCCTCACCAGTCTTGATATCCTTATGAATTTTTTTTTTTTTTACAACTCTTGCACTTCCTTTTTTTTCTTTCTCTGACCTCACTTGCACTTCCTTTTTCCCCCTTCTCTGACCTCACTTGCACTTCCTTTTTCCCCCTTCTCTGACCTCACTTGCACTTCCTTTTTCCCCTTCTCTGACCTCACTTGCACTTCCTTTTTCTTTCTCTGACCTCACTTGCACTTCCTTTTTCTTTCTCTGACCTCACTTGCACTTCCTTTTTCTTTCTCTGACCTTGTACTTCCTTTTTCTTTCTTTCTCTGACCTCACTTGTACTTCCATTTTTTTCCCTTCTCTGAACTCGCTTCCATTTTTTTCCCTTCTCTGAACTCGCTTCCATTTTTTTCCCTTCTCTGAACTCGCTTCCATTTTTTTTCCCTTCTCTGACCTCACTTGCACTTCATTTTTCTTTCTCTGACCTCACTTGCACTTCATTTTTCTTTCTCTGACCTCACTCCCATTTTTTCCCTTCTCTGAACTCACCTGCTTTTTTTTTTCTTTCTCTGACCTCACTTGCACTTTCTTATTTTACTCTGTCTTCCACTTCCCTTTTTTCTAATAACTTATTTATTTTTAGTCATATGGTTTATTAATTCTATATATCATATATCGATGTAATAAGCTCTATTAGGAGTAATTATATTTTGCGTGTCACCACCCTCAGGATTTCCCCTAGTTCAGCTGATGAAGATTATCTTTCTCTCAACTAAACTGAAGTCTTGTCCCAAATTCTAATTGAAAACTAATTTTATTTTAACCAAATTATCTTCTACTAGGCTTTCTCACTTTACGAAGACGAAATCAGTGACAGCAAAGCACAGCTTGCTGCCATTACTTTGATTATTGGAACGTTGGAACAGATGTCTTGTTTTGGGGAGGAGAACCATGAACCTCTTCGTACTCAGTGTGCTTTGGCTGCTTCCAAGTTACTTAAGAAGCCAGATCAGTGCCGGGGAGTCTCCATATGCTCACACCTTTTTTGGTCAGGGAAAAAAGAGGATCAAGAAGAAGTGAGTGAATTGAAATTAATCTTTTATATGTAATTCTTATTTTTGATTTCTTCTGTTGTTGTTTTCTTTGTTTTTTTTCCATTTCTTCTGTTTTTGTGTTGTGTTGTTTTGTGTTTACTGACTTTATATTCAGAAACACTTGCATCTTTGTAGAAAGTTTATCCATAGTGCTTTATAAACTCTTATGGTTGGCAGCACACTAGCTGGGTGAATTCTTACAGATTTTGCAAACTTTACCTTCACAACAGGAGAGTAAAAAAAAATATGGCTTTTGGGGATTGCTGATGAAGCCTGTGAAAGCAATGATTATCTTGAAACAGCTGATATCCCTGTTATGTTACAGTTGATGTGAAAGGAAGAGGTGAAAGTGATATTTACTATAATCATCACCATTATTATTGCAGTTACCAAACCACACAAAACCTACTTGATGTCGCTTTTGATACTAAGTTTTATTGTTTTCAGTTGTATTCATGACCATTGTGTCTACCATACAACACTTATGGAATTACTTTTGCATATGTGACGTTAACAGAACGCTAGATAATTGAAAAAGCTTTTTTCACGAAACTCATTATGATTATTTCTTATTTCCTAGATGCATGATGGTAAAAGAGTCGCTGAATGTCTAAAGAAAGGGGTCAAAATTGCTAACCAATGTATGGACAGTTCTGTCCAGGTCCAGCTGTTTGTTGAACTGCTTAATCACTATATTTATTTTTATGAGAAAGGAAATGATCAGGTAAGTGGAAATATTAAGTCTTTATCAGTTTTAGTTTAACACCTTCACTGATATCTTGGATATTTGAACCCTTACATAATGCTATCTATGTTTTTGTTAGTTACCATTAGAAATTGCTACATAAGACTACTTAGGCTTTATTTTGGTAAATAAAATTAAATTTATTAAACTATAAAGAATGGTGCTAATTTGTGTTCTCAGTATTGGCTTTTTTTGTTTTTTGTTCTCCATAGTGACATGTAATACTTTTGTGTGACATGGTCTTTTTTATCCATCCCTCCACCTTGCCCACCCCCAAAAATTATTTGAATCAAGGTTAAAATAAAAAAAACAAAAACAAATCCTAGTGAAAACCTTATCAAAAATGGCTCGATGTGTGTAAGCCAGGCAACATAAAATTTACCACAAGATGGACATGCGCACATGTGCATTGAGTGTCAATAAACCTATTAAACCTAAACCTAAACCTAGAAATCATTGATCAGGTTACATGAAAATGAAATTAATTCTATCACAGTTTTTGTATTATAGACATGCAAGACCTCACTATGTAAAAATGAATTAATGAGCTGTTGAATCATATGTTAAAATAGACTAGAGAATTGTAAGTAACTTTTGGTTTGTATCATTTACATTAAGTGTACTTGGTTTCAATCTCTGGTGGAAATGAGAATAAAGTCTCAAATTCTCTCTAAAGTTCAGATTTTGACCCCAATTCTTGCCTTCAAAACTATATCAGCATAATTCATACTAGAAAAAGTTATTTTATAACCAAAGTAAATTTGCAAAATTCTTTTAAGCTTTAAAAAAAAAAAACAAACTAGATTTATTTTTTATTTTATTGATATTTTATTATTCATTTAATTTTTTTTGACTTTTATGAAAAAAAATTTGATACATTTTTTTTTTTTTTTTTTAAATACAGAATTTAAAATAAAAAGTAGTACAATACTTCACACATAACATGCACATTTTTTTTTTTTTTGAACATTTTAAACAGATATGATATGTACACACACACACACATGCTAAATTTCTATTTTTGCTTTGCTTTTTCTTTTTTAATTTTGTTTAGCCATATGAAATATTGTTCCATATGCTTATAAAATATGCAATCTCCAGATGGAAATACATGAAGATTCAGTGTTGAAATTTATTGACCGAATTCTCTTTTCAGATCACTATTCCAGTATTAAATCAGCTCATCACAAAAATCCGTGAAGATTTGCCAAATTTAGAAGCAAACGAAGAAACAGAACAAATCAACAAGCATTTCCAGAATACACTCGAACACCTTCAATTGCGCATTGCCAGCAATGACCCTAGCGGACCGTCTTATGAAGGGCTGTCGATATAAAACTAAGGTGGGACGGGGGGGACAAAACCACTTCTAGTTTGATTTGAACCCTGACTCTCCAGCCCATCATTGATCTAATCATGTTAGCTACTGGAATGAAGTGCATCCAATGACCTTGGGCTGTGGAAAAACACAGTTGAGCTGAGTTGTATAAAGGATTTATAGTTTCTGGAAGTTAAGGGTGTTTAAAAAAAGAAAAAAAACTATATTGGTAATAAAAATGATGATAAGAATATCTGTACCAGCATTTGGTCCTCAAACATAAGTGCATATAAAAGGGGATTTGAGGAAGGTAATTAGAGGGAAAGGAAGAACAGAAATTTAGGGTGGATAAACCAATTTAAAGCAAGAAAAGACTATTAGTTGAGAGGAACATGAAAGTAACTGAAAATGTAAAAAAGAAAAAAAAATGCAAAAAATTACAGAAAACATGGTACATAGTTTTTGTTGATTGTTATGTGGAATTTCTGTTTTTTTTTTCTTTTTTTTTCTTTCTTTTTCTTTCTTTTTTCTTTCTTTTTTTTTCTTTCTTTATCTTTTCTTTCTTTATCTTTTCTTTCTTTATCTTTTCTTTCTTTATCTTTTCTTTCTTTATCTTTTCTTTCTTTATCTTTTCTTTCTTTATCTTTTTTTCTTTATCTTTTTTTCTTTATCTTTTTTTTCTTTATCTTTTTTTCTTTATCTTTTTCTTTTTATCTTTTTTTCTTTATCTTTTTTCTTTTCTTTTTTTTCTTTTATCTTTTTTTTTTCTTTATCTTTTTTTTTATCTTTTTTTTTCTTTTTCTTTATCTTTTTTCTTTATCTTTTTTTCTTTATCTTTTTTTTTTTTTTCTTTATTTTCTTTTTTTTCTTTTTTTTCTTTTTTTCTTTATTTTTTTTTTTTCTTTTTTTCTTTTCTTTTTTTTTTTTTTCTTTTTTTTTCTTTTTTTCTTTTTTTTTTTCTTTTTTTTTTTTCTTTTTTTTTCTTTTTTTCTTTTCTTTTTTTTTTTTTTCTTTTTTCTTTTCTTTCTTTTTTTTTCTTTTCTTTCTTTTTTCTTTTTTCTTTTTTTCTTTTTTTCTTTTTTTTTTTTCTTTTCTTTTTTTTTTCTTTTTTTTTTTTTTTTTCTTTTTTTCTTTTTTTCTTTTTTTCTTTTTTTTTTTTTTTTTTTCTTTTTTTTTTTTTTTTTCTTTTTTTTTTTTTTTTTTTTTCTTTCTTTTTTTTTTCTTTTTTTTTTTTTTTCTTTTTTTTTTTTTTTTTTTTTTTTTTTCTTTTCTTTCTTTTTTCTTTTTCTTTCTTTAATCAAATGTTAATTCCTTTTGTATTTAACAGAAAAGACAGCAACAATAATGATGAAATCCAAAACTCTAAAATCATTTTTTTTTATTACTGTTTTGTGGCTTATAAGATGTTCTGAGGAACCTAATGTTAAAAATTTATACAATTGTATTAAGAAAAATTGTTAGGAATAAAAATTAATCTCTTTCAATTTAAAACCTTCAATTAAAAATTTGTCAGCTAATTTAATCAATTTCCATTAAAGACAATCTCTGTGATTTAAAATGGAAATTTAAAAACTTTCATATTATAATTCTGCTTGTTCCTCAGTTAGCATGTGTGTTATATTCTGCCATTACCTCAGATAAATAATGGACCATTCAATTTTGGGTACTAATTAAACAAACTGGTCCACTGGCTAAAAAAAAAAAATAGGGAAAGAAACTATTGAAAATAATTTGTACATTGGAATTCTTTAGACCTTCCTTTTGGCCACAACACTTGCCAGAAATGAAAAATATTGATTTGTTATTTATTTAGGTGTTCTGCTTATAATATTGATGCAGTGTCAAATTGGTCTCTGACATTTAGAGAGTTATTGAACTTAATTGTTTTTCATACAAAAACAGTTTTTGGGAGTGGGGCAGTTACAAAAACGCATCTTCTAAATAAAGAATAAATATATTAATAAAAACAACAAAAATTTATATAAATTAATAAAATTGTATATCCATTTATTCTACATTTTAAGATAAGTAATTCAAATGTTTGTACATAGACTTCTGAGAAAATTCCAGAAAAGTTTTTAAAACAATTTTTAAAAAGTTTTAAAAATTCAGAAGTTAAAAAAAAACAAAAAAACGTACAGCTATTAATGTTACCAGACTTTCAAACTTGATATTTATAAATAACTGCTTAGTCCAATAACTCTGTGAAAGTCAGGGATCAATTTTATATTATATTGATATTATGAACAGGGCCTGTCTCTAAAATGATTAGAAAAAAATCACTATATTTCCATTCTGACAAATGTTGCTGCCTAAGGAACCCTAATCTGCAAAAATTATTTTCTAAAAGAGGACCAGTATATTTAAGTGGAGCCCATTTTGATTGTGAGGAAAAAGATGTTTGGTTTTAGTGAAGAAAAAGAAAGCATACGTAATAGGGAAAATAGAAGAGGTGATAATGTTCTCATGCATTTAATGTCTGCTTCAGTGAAATGGAAAACCTTGTCAATGTTGAATCTTTTTATTTTGTACCCCCTTACTTCTTTTAAATAATGACCTACATTCATATTTATGATTGTTAGTGCAATATTTTGTTAAAGTTGTCAAACTGAAAGATTTATTGGCGCAATAGGGGAATTTCCACAGATATTTTATCATCATAGAACTCACAAAGAGCTTGTTTTATCCTTGATTTAAGAATTATGATTTGTCAGAAAATTCAGAGTGGAATGCCGTGATGTTTTCATGGGTATTTCTAGTTAATGATGATGATAATAATAATAATAATAATAATACCAGCAAAGCAAGCATACATAATAAGAAAGAGTAGTAAAAGAAGTGATAATTTTGTACCCTCTTATTAATGGACTTACAACTATATCACATTGAAACACCAGTTCTTGCAAGATCACCAAAGTTAAGCAACGTCAACCCAAGTTAGTACCTGTGTGGCTGACCACTTGGATGTGCAGGTGGTGTAATGGATAACAGCTCAGAATTGGATATCGAAGAGCTGAGTTCCAATTTCAATTAGGTTCTTTATATTCACTTACACACAAATACCCTTGGGAAAGGTATGAACCCATCTCTTCTCCCCCCTCCCCCCCAACATGGGTTAATTAGAAGGATCAGTAAATCATTATCTCCAAAAAATTCTTACAATCTAAAAATATATTTTGGCTTTAAATAACCTGTAAAAGGTTGATAAACCTTAAAAAACAAATCAATCTTATTAATAACTGGCATTCATATTTATGATTGTTATTGCAATATTTTGTTAAAGTTAAGTTCAAATATTTAACGATGCAGCAAAGTGATTTCCACATATATTTTATAGTTGATAAACTCTCAAGGTGCTTATACAGTCATTAACTTAAGAATTATGATTCATCAAAAAATTCAACTAAGAAAACCATGAAGTTTTCACAGGTATTACTAGTGGTATTTATTTTCCAAAAGTCATTTGGTCTATTGAAATAATTCTTTGTATTCTTCTTGTAACTGTAATATTTTGACTGATCTGTTCTCCATCCTTCCTCAGGTATACAATCTATAAAGAAGATAGCTTCTGTAATTTTGGGATAAGCCATTATCATTCCAACAATTGTCTAGAACATTAAACTGGTTCTTTGTTGACACAATATTTTCGACCAGTTCATTCTCCAGCCTTCCTTAGGTGCACAGTTCATTCAGAAAAAGAGATGTCTCTTTTTACAGAAAAAGTTACTAATAGAAAAGGCAGGAGTGCCGCTAGCATGCAAGGGGTTACAAAGTGTAAGAGTAAAGAGGGGTGTTTGAGGAAAGGATAAAGAGAGGACGGGGAAGAGGATCAAGGCATCAGAAGATATCGATTGATATTACATTTGAATATTTGAAGATTATAGTTATCAGGGAATGTTCCATAAAATTTGGTTGTTAAATACAAGTTTATTTTCATTAAATTAATTTTACTTCAATTTATTAATTACTCACATGGTTTATTATGAGTTATTTTTTTATCCCCCCCCCACGACAAAGCAAGGCAGGAGTGCCACGAGCTAGCAAAGGGATATTATCATTTTGGATATTTGAAGATTATAGCTATCAAGAAAGCAAGTAGGAGGAAGGGAGCTCCAATGTTGGGAAGTGCGAGAGAAGAAACTGTTGGAGTAGAAGAGACGGTTACATTTAACTGTTTCGACAGTGAAAGGGTGGGACCGAGATACCAACCTAGTAGCACGCTTAAATTCATGCAGTTGAGGTACCAGTGAAAGTAGCTCGTCAGAACAGTTGCCATGAAAATAGTTAATATAACCAACTCGACACGTTTCAGCAATGCAGGTGTTATCTATAATAAAAGGTAATATCATATTTGTTGTTTCCAGAGTTTAGCTTAGTTTTCACTCAATACCATAAGTATGGCACACCCAGTGAGAATCAAACTGATGGTCAACCAGATTAGCTTCCTAACAAGTACTCCATGCTAAAGGGAATCCATACTTATATATAGATATGCTAGAAATGATCACTGAAATTAAGCAACGTCATGCCTGGTCAGTTTCTAGATGGGTGACCACTTGAGAATACTAGGTGCTGTAAGTTTTGATGTGTGGGTAATGTAATAGATAATGGCTTGGAATTGTTAAATGGAGAGAATGTTCTAATTTCTGTTGGCTTTGTTATATTTCACTTGTGCATAAATATCCTTGGAAAAAGTATAAATCCACCTCTTCTTCCCCCAGCTATAGGTTAATGAATAAGACTTGTATCACTAAGCCATTATTATTTTTTAAAAATTCTTACAGTCTAAAAAATATTTTCTGGCTTTAAATACCCAGCAAATGGATGTGCAGGTGATGTAAGCTTGGATATGCAGATGGTTTAATGAATAATGGCTTGGAATTGGAATTTGGAGAGCAGATTTCCAATTCCAGTTGTTATATTCACTTACTAGCAGCAGAGCCTGGCATTGCCCAGGGATGTAACAGTAAGAGATAGATCAAGTATCTACCATCATAAAGACTGAAAAATAAAATTGACAAAGATTATTGTTTAAGGTTGACGGACACACATGTCTTAATTAGTTTTTTTTTTTTTTTTTTTACAAATTGGTCAAACTCAAACAAAAACATTGTTTTCAATCGTTATGAGTCTACTGATTGAATAGAATTTTATTATAAATAATTGTCTTGCAAATGGAATTTTTAAAGCATTCTGAATGTAAAAATGAAGAAAAAAGTGTGCAAGACAATAAGAAACACTACCTGTGAAAAAAAAAAAGTGAAGTTTTGTTGAAATCGGTTGAAAAATGTAGGAAATCCGATCCCATATATAAACGAACACACACACACACACACACACACAACCAACCTGGGTTTTATAATAAGTATAACTCGATATGAGTTGTCCCTCTTTCATTCTCGCAATGCCTCTTAATTGTGTTTTCAAACTGATTTCATGCAAAAACAATTGCATTTTTCCAATTTTGGGGGCTGTCAGAACCACCGCAAGGTAATTTTATGTAGACCTGTGAAGTTTTGTTGAAATCGGTTGAAAAATGTAGGAAATCCAATCCAATATATAAACGTACAGACACACACACACACACAACCTGGGTTTTATTAATAAGTATGATATGATGTACAAATGCCCTTGGGAAAAGTATAAATCCATCTCTTCTCCTCCCAGCTATGGGTTAATTTGTAAGATTTGTATCACTAAAACCATTATCTCAAAAAATAATTTTGCTCTTTTTTTTTTTTTTCCACACTCAGTAACCCCTTGTCTTGGTGGCTTTATTGCCTTGCATGGAGTGATGTGATTAAAGAAAGAAATTAATAAAAAACAAAATATTTAGATTTTGGCATGAAATAACCCATATAGGTGTTGATATGCCTCTAAGCAAAAACAACCAACCATCTCTCCATGCTGCACAGGTTACTAAAGAACGCATCATCTGTATAAGTCACATTGTTCTATTCAAAATTGTAAACAGTATCTGGATTTGATTTTTTTTTTCTTCCTTTTTTCTTTTTTTCTTCCTTTTTTTCTTTTTTTCTTCCTTTTTTTCTTTTTTTCTTCCTTTTTTCTTTTTTTCTTCTTTTTTTCTTTTTTTCTTCCTTTTTTCTTTTTTTCTTCCTTTTTTTTTTTTTTTCCTTTTTTCTTCCTTTTTTCTTCCTTTTTTCTTCCTTTTCTTTCTTTCTTTTTTTCTTTCTTTCTCCTTTCTTTTTTTTTTTTCCTTTCTCTTAACCTAAAACTTCTCTTATTGAATTTGTTTAAAAAAATGGCTTCCTGTTCTTATGCCTCTGTTCAGCTATTCTTATAAAATCTCTATTTGTTAAATTGAACTTGCTACTCTTCGGTTAGCAAAAAAAGAAAAATAAACAAAACATTCCTCTAATAAAACTTAACCTCTTATTTAGGGCAGATATATAAAAAAAAAAAAAAATGGATGCCATAGATATACAAAAATAGAAAAGGGTGTAAGACAAGGATGTACCTTTTCACTGAACTTATTCAACCTATATAGTGAGGCAATTCTGGGAGAATTAAAAGTCCTACCATGATTCATTATTGGCGGCCATAATCTTAACAAGAAATGCAGATGATACAGAAGGTAGTAAAGAAGAATAAGACCTTATTGCTAAAAAATCTTTACATTTTATTTTGGTAACTAAAATTAAATTTATTAACACATTCATTGCTACATTGGATCTATCTATCTATCTGTCAGAAAGAACTGTCGGAACTGCTCGTTAACCTCAACATATTTAGGAAGCATATTAGATTAATCCAGAATCTATGCTGACAGCAAACTGCCTTTATAAGGATAGAAAATGAATTCAGTAAATATACATACTTGTTTTACACCCCCTCCTCTTTTTGTGTCTTCTCACCAGACTTATTTAAACTATAGAGTGAGGCGATGCTCAGAGAATTTGAAGTTTTACTAGGATTTAACCATAAACTTAACAACATACACCGATGACATAATGGTCTTAGCAGACACTAAAAGGAAACTACAAGAACTCCAGCAGAAGGTATGGAAGCAAAATGAGAAGATGTATGAATTAGAAGTCCTATCAGGATTCATTATTAGCAACTGCAATCTTAACCCTTTGCCTGTCCAGGGCATTTTTGTGTGTACTATCCAAAGGTTCATGCTTGTTTTCAGATTAAGTTACGTTACATCAGTAGGAAAGTAACTGAACTGAGATGTCAACGGTGGAGTAATGGATAGCGGCTCAGATTAAGGAATCTGAGAGCCGAGTTCAAATTCCAATCAAATCTATTGCATTCACTTATGTGCTAATACCTTTGGGAAAGGTATGAATCCTCTTCTAAGGGCTATGGGTAAATATCTGGACAGACTGGATTCTATAGCCTTGGGTGGCAACTGGTCTACCACAGAAAGAAATGGCAACCTACTGCAGGAAAAAAATCTGCCTCATTAGTCATGTATTGAAAGATACATAGCACATTTTGGCAAATAGAATGTACTGATATATAGCGTTTCACATAATAAAACCCTGTGAATCACGTGTTATCCACAGAACGTACAAATCATAAGTTATTTACACTATGCTCTGTGTATCACGTGATGCAAAGGTTATAATCATTTCAATAAACTAGAAAAATAGATGTCTTTCATTTGAGACCTTACATTATCCATCAAGCATCCTGTGGTCATATATGATGGACAAAATATTAGATTACGCCTTTCCTCAGGCGTCCTGCTCAATAGTAGACTCTTTTCTTAAGCGTCCCTGGTTTTTACCAACCTTAAAATCATGGCTTCTGTACACCATATATGATGCATGGATGTGTAAATCACATGTCCTGACCATCACATATGACGTATAGGGTTAACGACATGAGATATGTAGATGATACAGTGTTGATAGCAGATAGAGAAAGGAATCTAGAAGAACTACAAAAAGTAGTGAAAGAAAGAAAGAAGAAAGGACTAAGCATCAGTTGTAAGTAATCGACATCTCCAGTTACATTGATCTATCCACTATCCTTCTCCTCATCCTTACTTCTATCACTCCTGTCTGCTCTCGCTCCAAATCTTCTGCAACCCCTTGCATCCTAGTGGCTTCCTGCCTTGCTCGGGGCGTAATGCTTTTAAAAAAAAAAAAAAAAAAGACGGTACGTGTTTATTAGCAAAAGAAAAATCCTAACATGCAAATTACAAATTAGAGATATCAAAATCAAATATTTAAATATCATGGAATAGTTTTAACAGGATGTAAAATGTAACACCAAGATCTGAAGTGACATTGGAATACTGAAAGGTGCCTTCCCAAAGCCAAGCAAAGTATAAAGAAACAGGAAAATTTTGTTAGAAACAAAGAGAGTACTGAACTTTTATGTAATATCAGTCCTTTTATATGGCAATGAATGCTGAACAATTTCACAGATGAAGAGATTTGAGGCAACAAAAATGTGGTTCTACTAAAGGATGCTGAGACTGCCATGGACCAAATGTGAGCAATGACAAAATTTTAGAGAAAATGGAAACAAAAAGGATGCTTACACTTAACATCAGGTAGAGACAGTTAAAATTTTTAGGTTGCATAATGAGGAAAGAGAGCTTGGAAAATCTGATACTCACAGGACAGATTGAAGGGAAGAGGGACGGAGGAAGACAATTCATGACCTCCCTAGTGAAATTGAGTAAATGGATGACTGAACAAGCTTTAGGAGAGAAGAAAATGACAATTTATTAAGAGCTACAAAGGACATGAAATTGTGGAGAGCCATGATCAACCACGTCCTGAAGGGACACGACACATAGAAGAAGAGGAATGAGGTTGTCTAAATGGATGGTGGGACAAGGTTTAGGAGAAATAACAAAAAGACAAAATTTATTAAGAGCTACAAAAGACAGGAAATTGTGAAGAGCCATGATCGCCATTGTCCTGAAGGGACACAGCACATAGAAGAAGAGGAATGAGCTTGTGTAAATGGATAGTGGAACAAGGTTTAGGAAAAATAACAAAATTTATTAAGAGCTACAATGGATGGGAAATTGTGGAGAGCAATGATCACCAATGTCCTGAAGGGACATAGAAGGGCATAGAAGAGGGTTGTAGGTACAAAATTTAATTACTGCAATAAAAACAGACAAACAAAAAAATAAAGAGGAAACTGGACAAAATTAAATTCAGCCAATGAAAAAAATAATCAGAAACAGCTGACTGGTTTTCGTTCTTCTCTCTTTCATCAAATTTCAATTGTGGAATTAAAATAATGTGCACAACAACAAAAAGAAAAGGGAAAAAAAATTGAGAATAAGAAATAGATAAGTATCAATAATACAAAGTGTGCCAGAAATACTTCCCATATTTTAAAGGTTGATAAAAAAACCAAAAAAAACAAGGTAACCTTTATTAGAATTTGATTTTACTCTTGTCTAAACCAGTGTTTCTCAACATGGTCCAGGTGGTCCATTAGCATTTCTAGTGGTCCACAGAGAATTCCTAGCCATAAAAAAAATTGTAGCCATTTCACAAAAATGTATCTAAATTATTCATACTTTGAAGAATTAAAAAATATAATATTTTAATTACACACATGTCCATTTTAAAAATTTTGAAATTATGTACGTATTATGCAGTGTTATATTTATCTTATTTTTTATCATATATATATATATATATATATATAAAAAGAATGTTATATATACTATATATAATATAAATTTTTTATTCATATAAAAAACTAGCAGTAGAGCCCGGCGTTGCCCGGGGATGTAACAGTAAGAGATAGATCAAGTATCGACCATCATAAAGACTGAAAAATAAAATTGACAAAGATTATTGTTTAAGGTTGATGGACACGCATGTCTTAATTAGTTGTTTTTGTTTTTTGGGGGTTTTTTTACGAATTGGTCAAACCAAAACTCAAACAAAAACATTGTTTTCAATCATTATGAGTCTACCGATTGAATAGAATTTTATTATAACCAATTGTTTTGTAAATGGAATTTTTAAAGCATTCTGAATGTAAAAATAAAGAAAAAAAGTGGGCAACACAATAAGAAACACTACCTGCCAAAAAAAAAAGTGAAGTTTTGTTGAAATCGGTTGAAAAATGTAGGAAATCCGATCCCATATATAAAGGAACACAAACAACCTGAGTTTTATAATAAGTATAACTCGATATGAGTTGTCTCCCTTTCATTCTGGTGACTGAATCGTGTTTTCAAATTGATTTCGTGCAAAAACAATTGTGTTTTTCCAATTTTTGGCGCTGTCAGAACCACCACAAGGTAATTTTACGCAGTCCTGTGAAGTTTTGTCAAAATCGGTTGAAAAATGTAGGAAATCTGATCCGATATATAAATGTACACACAAACACACACACACACACAATCTGCGTTTTATAATAAGTAAGATTATTCCTATGTTAATAGATCACTACACTATTCTAATAGACTGAATGACCCCATCAAAATTGATTATGATATCTTGTGATAGAATCATTAAGATCAAGGTAGTCACTAGCTGAATGGACTAAGACTCAACGACATCATCAAAATTGATTTTGATATCCTATGTTTATCCTTGTTTACTAAAAGAAATTTTAAAGTGTGAATAGATTACTTTGTCTTTTCATTATTTTAGTGTGAAAATTGAACAGCCTAAAAGTAAAAGTAGGTTGAGAATCACTGGTTTAAACAAAGGGTTACAGTTTTTATTCATTTGGTTTTAAAAATGGCTTCCACCAAATGGTGGCCTCTATACACCATACACTGTTGTACACGATTTCTAAAGTTTTCCATCACTCAGAAGTTCAAAGTCTTCCAGATGGCTTTCTTTTAAGTGCTGAACCTGTGGCCCTGAAATTTACAACCCATAGCAGTATCAATTTTCTGTCCAGGACAGCATCATTCCAACATAACATGGAATGAGCACAAAAGCTCTCTGGTAAATCTGTAATTGCAACACAGTCTTTTTTCTTTTCCAATCATTTCATCCCAAGCAAAGCAAAAGAGCCACTAAGATGCAAGAGGTTACTGAGTGTTACAGAATATGAGAAAAGCTACTAATAAAGAAGAGAGAGGATAATAAAAGAATTAAGACAGACTATAACGATTGACATTGCATTTAAATTTTTGAAGATCAAAGTTGACTGGGCAGAAAGAAGCCAAAAGAGAGCTTCATAAACAAGAATTGCAATAGAAGAAACTGTTAGCATAGAACTTACAGTTACATCTAGCGGCCATTTCAACTGTAAAATGATGAGACCTTGCCACAAATCTAGTCTTCTTTTATGTTTCATGTCCCTTCAGGACATAGGTGATCGTGGCTCTCCACTTCCTCCTAATCCCTTGTAAGCTCTCAATATGTTTGTCCTTCTGCTACTTCTCCCAAACCCTGTTCCATCATCCACTTGCCCAAGCCTGCCAGGTATGTCACATGTTGCTTTCCCTTGTCTCTCTTTCTCTCTATCCGCCTGTGAGTATCAGATTCTCCAAGCCCTTCTTTCTTATTACAAGTCCCAGAAATTTCAGCTGCCTCTTCCTGATGTTAAGTATAAGCTTCCTCCTTGTTTGCATCATCTCCAAAATCTCATCGTTGCTCACATGTTCGGTCCATGGTATACTTAGCATCCTTCTGTAGAACCATACCTCCGTTGCCTCAAGTCTCTATTTCATCTTTGAGGAGACCATCCAACATTCGCTATTGTAAAGGAGGACAGATATCATGTAGCAATTCAGTACTCTTTTCTTTGTTGCCAACAAAATCTTGTAATACTCTGCCTAGCTTTTGGAATGCATCTTCGGCTACCCCAACATGTCTTCGGGTCTCAGTGTCACACTTACCATCTTCTGTCAGAACACTTCCCAGAAATTTCCTCACCTGCTTGATTTTAGTGTCCCTGACCTGTAAATCATTTTACTGATGACCATGCATTCTGTCTTCTTGCAGTTTATGCTTAGTCCTTTCTTCTTGCTCTCATTTGCTGCCTTCTGTAGGAGGTTTCGTAATTTCCTTTCCATGTCTGCTAGCAGCAGTGTGTCATCTGTATATCTTAACTGTGATTAAATTCATAAAGTCTAGGTACCATAGAGGAAAAAACAGCAAATACGCAGTATACATTGGTCCAAGCCATGATGGTTTCTGAAAAAAAAATGTTAAGACATTAGCGAGATGAAGACACTCTTGCCACTTGCCTAAGTTTGCTAGCTCCACCCAGGTTACAGTTTAAAATGTGGGATGGATTTCTGCCACACTCTGTACATTGACAAATTTATGTTGTAAACATATCACATGGAGACTCAACAACAATTCATTTTGTTTATAGCATATGTATATATGTCAACATATTATTGGCACTTGTATATTTCTTACCCACAAGGCTTACAGCCATATCACATTGAAACATTGATTGATCACTGAAGTTAAGCAATGTCAAGCCTGGTCAGTACCTAGATTGGTGACCGCTTGGGAATACCAGGTGCTGTAAACTTGGTTATGCAGGTGGTGTCATGAATAACAGCTAGGAATTGGAAATCAGAGAGCCAGGTTCCAATTCCAGTTGGGTTCATTGTATTCAGTTACATGCAAATACTCATGGGAGAAGTATGAATCCACCATTTCTTCCTCCAGCTATGGGTTAATTAGTAAAACTTGTATCAGTAAATCATTATCTCCTCCCAAAGTTCTAACAGTATTAAAATATTTTCTGGCTTTAAAATAATAAGATGTAAATAATAATGATAAAGTGTGTGTGTGTGTGTGTGTGTGTGTGTGTGTGTATATATATATATATATATATATATATATATATAAATTAAATCCATCTTATCCACAATTTTTCCTTTCCTTTTAGTTTTTTTTTTTTTTCGTTTTCTACAGCTTATCAACCATTTACATATTTATTATTTATAACCAGGAATTATTTTTATATAGTAAGAATTTTTTTTTTTTTTTTTTTTTTTTTTTTTTTTTTTTTGAGATAATGATTTACTGATACAAGTTTTACTAATTATCCCAGAGCTTGTGCCGGTGGGGCGACAAGGTAGATTCATACCTTTCTCAAGGTTATTTGCGCGTCCAATAGGAATTGGAACTCAGTTCTCTGATTAATGATTCTGAACAGTTATCCAAGCTTACAGTAACTTGTATTCCCAAGTGATCACCCATCTACATACTCACCAGGCTCAATGTTGCTTAACTTTAGTGATCTTATGGGAACCACTATTTACATTATTCAGACTATTGTCTTCATCTTTGTCGCCATTTTTATCACAACGTTTCGGACGTTGTACACTCCGGCCTTCTTTCATGAACGAAATAAAGGGTTCAGTTTGACATTCCAACCACCTGAAGAAGGCCAAAGCATACAACGGCCAAAACATTGTGATAAAGATGTGGACAATAGTCTAAATAATGTAAATGGTGTACATAATACCTCATCTCAGAAACATAGACAGATACTTATGAGAACAAGAGTTTCAACATGATGTGGCTGGACACTTTTAGTTGTTTACAGTATTTTAATTCCACGAATCGGATCTGATGAGAGTGGTATGAAAACTGGTCAGCTGTTTCTGATATTATTTTTTTCTTTTTGTATTATTCTTTACTGTGGCTATAAATTTCTCCAATTTCTTCTTTTCTGTCTTTATTATCTGTCTGTTTTTATAGCATTAACCTATTAATATTATTATAATAAATTTTTCAACTGATTTCTTTTAATTTCAATTGCTTTTTATCACAACTCTCATATTGTCATTTTACAGCATGATAGACTAAAAATCAAGAATAAACTTTCCATGAGAGTCTAATTTATGTTGCTTACCGATTCAGTCACAGAAACCTGGCTGTGGTCATTCAAAGCTTACCATAGAGCTATTTCTTCTCTACCAACTCATGACTATCTGATATATTACTATCTTTTTTTATTTGCATACACAAATAGTATTACTAGTAATATTATCTTCTTTTTATTTTTCAGACAAAACACTAATAATGATTATATAAGGAACAGGTATATAGTTAGTTTTGAATGACTGCAGTTGGTGGTCACCATAGCCTAATTGATAAAGCAGCTGTTGCATTAAGACAAGTTTCCCAAAGAAAAGAATTGGTTTGAATCTGAAATTTCTTTTTTTGTGTTGCTATCTAACAAGCTTGTGTAAATGGACGTCATGCAGTGGGAAGGACAGTTAATAAAATAAAATAAACAAAATAAAGCAAATATTTCTAAGAGCTATAAATTACAGGAAGTTATGGAGAACCATGATCACTCACATCCTCAAGCAACATGGCACATAAAGTGAGTTGCTTGCTAATATCCATAGAATGACAACTTGGATGTTGCAATAAAAAGTAAGTTAAATTAAAAGAAATAGATGAAAAAAAAAAATGACATGACTTTATGTATGAAATTTTAAAAAAATGAATTTCATTTTGATTTTTTTCCATCAATTATGGCAGTGTACACTTTTTCATTTGCATAAAAAAAGACTCCAGGTTCAATCCTGTCTCTTGGCTCTTTTTACTTGCAAATGCTTTAAATCCTTACATTCAACTTTTTAAAAAGAAGTCCTTACACTTGAAATATCATATCTCCTTATCTAAAATGGCTGACCCAAAGGTAAGGAAGGATCAGCATAAGAAAATAAAAATGAAATTTAAAACATTCAAATAAGTGATAGATAAGACATAGAGGTATACCTCTTTTTATTGCACTTGATTTACTAACTGAAGCTTTCAAAATATGTATGTATGTATGTATGTATGTATGTACAGTGAGGTGAAACAAGTATTTGGACAGTAAAAAAAATGGATTTAGAATCATATATTGAAAGAAAAGCATTATCTAAAGCTCACAATATATTCATAAAACAATTATAAATGCAAATAAACAGCAAAAATAAATTATTTGACACGTATATATATTTTATATACAAATTATTAAAACAGGTAGTGAAAAAAGTATTTGGACAGTAAAAAAAATGGATTTAGAATCATATATTGAAAGAAAAGCATTATCTAAAGCTCACAATATATTCATAAAACAATTATAAATGCAAATAAGCAGCAAAAATAAATTATTTGACACGTATATATATTTTATATACAAATTATTAAAACAGGTAGTGAAAAAGTATTTGGACAGTAAAAAATGGATTTAGAATCATATATTGAAAGAAAAGCATTATCTAAAGCTCACAATATATTCATAAAACAATTATAAATGCAAATAAACAGCAAAAAATAAATTATTTGACACGTATATATATTTTATATACAAATTATTAAAACAGGTAGTGAAAAAAGTATTTGGACAGTAAAAAAAATGGATTTAGAATCATATATTGAAAGAAAAGCATTATCTAAAGCTCACAATATATTCATAAAACAATTATAAATGCAAATAAACAGCAAAAATAAATTATTTGACACATATATATATTTTACATACAAATTATTAAAACAGGTAGTGAAAAAAGTATTTGGACAGAATATAAATTATGTTTTAAATGTGTTTAATATTTAGTTGGTCCTCCTTCCTTTTCAACCACAGCTCTCAGTCTGTTCCTGTAGCTCTCTACAAGCGCCTGGCATGATTTGGTGGGAATTTTAGCCCACTCTTCTTCTGCAAAAACTTTCAATTCACTGAGGTTCTTTGGTCGCCTTTCACGAATCTGATTCTTCAGTGTACTCCAAAGATTCTCTATTGGATTCATGTCCAGCGATTGGCTGGGCCATGTCAACACATTGATGTTATTGTTTTGAAGCTATGCACATGTTGTTTTGGCTGTATGTTTTGCATCATTGTCCTGTTGAAAAACCCAATCTGGTCCAAGTTCTAATTTCTCAACTGATGACTGCAAGCAATTTTCTAAAATCTGAATATATTTGGCTGCATTCATTGTGCCTTCAATAATTTTCAGTTGTCCCGTACCATTATATGCAAAGCATCCCCAAACCATAATGCTACCACCTCTGTGCTTCACAGTGAGGATGGTGTTCTTTTGATTGAAGGCTGTTCCATCCTTTCTCCAAACATGGGTAGCATCATTGTGGCCATAAAGTTCAATCTTGCTTTCATCAGACCATAAAATTTGCTTATAATAGTTATCATGCTTTTGTAAATTAGTTTTGGCAAATTCAAGTCTGGATTTTAAATGATGTTTTTTTTAACAAGGAGAGCGAGATTTGAATTGTTGTCGGTAAAGTTCAGGACTTATGGTCCTCTTGCATACGTGAGTTCCTGTATTGCTGAGATCTTTTTGAAGTTCTCTCCAAGTCACAAAAGGGTCATTTTTTACTCGCCATACTATTTTCCATGAACATTTTTGTGATATTTTGTGCGGTGCACCTGTTCTTGGCATATTTTCATGAGTACCGAAGGCTTTCCATTTCTTAATTATGTACCCAACAGTGCTCACAGGTAAACATAGGTCTTTAGAAATCTTGCGATAGCTTTTTTTTCTTTATGTGCAGAAATAATTTGATCTTTAAGATCTTTCGACAGCTCTCTTTGCTTTGGCATCCTGCAGTACTGTTAGTGCAACGTCTTGGGATGAACTGACCATCAAGATAGCTAACACCTTTAAGTAATGCACGTTCTAGACTATTCCATAAAATTCTAACACATTTGAGCATGAAATATACTCAAAACATTAATTTTAAATATAATTTTGGAACTGTCCAAATACTTTTTTCACCACCTGTTTTAATAATTTGTATATAAAATATATATATGTGTCAAATAATTTATTTTTGCTGTTTATTTGCATTTATAATTGTTTTACAAATATATTGTGAGCTTTAGACAATGCTTTTCTTTCAAAATATGATTCTAAATCCAAATACTTGTTTCACCTCACTGTATATATAGTGGGAGAAACAAATATTCATACACATACAAATTTTTAATTTATTGTATTTCCAAATAATCAATAAACATACTTTTCATATAATTAACTGTACATAGATGTATAATAACTAAATATGTATAGAAAACAGAAAAATTGATTTAATAGAAATAAATCCAATTTATCTATTTTAATGTGTGAAAAAAGTATTTGTACAATGAAAATTTCAGATTTTAAAACTTTTAAATTGCTTTAATACTCTAGATTATTCAAGTGGAATATTCTAGAATGTTCCAATAATGTTATCGGTAGTTATTTTTAGCCTAAAAAATACAAACAGAACATTCTGTAATTGATATTCGTTCAAGAAGGTTTTCATCATGGCAAGAGGTAAAGAATTGACAAATTCACAAAAAGAACTGATTGTTAAGTTCTGGAAAGAAGATCATTAGTTCATTCCTTGCAAGGTATAAGAAACTCAAAACTGTTGAAAATCAAAGAACAGGTGTTGCACAGAAGATTTCTTCAAGATCTTTGAGGAAATTAATATGTCAAATTAAACAAAATCCAATGGTTACTCATCAAGAGTTAAAAGATGATTTACTTTCATCAGGAATCTGTCTCACTAAACAGA